GTTAAGTCACATCTGACTTATGGTGGCCCCATGGGGTTTTCAAGACAAGAGACATTCAGAGGTGGTTTGCCAATGCCTGCCTCCACATCATGACCCTGGTATTCCTTGGAAGTCTCCCATCCAAATACTGGCCATGGCCAACCCTGCTTAGCTTTCGAGACCTGACAAAATGCAGAAAGCAGCATTGTGTAGAGGTTTATGTCCAGATTTCTATTACTTGTGGTCAATGTTCCCTCTAAGCTGAGTTAGTGTGAGACAGCTCACAGTTTTTTAGCCTCTAGCTCACACATTTTTGTCTTCGCTCAGGAAGGATGGCTTCAGAGCAAACTAATTTATGCAGTAGCCAAATCACTTGCTCACAGCTTTAATGCCCGTAGCTCACAAAGTAGAATTTTTGCTCACGAGACTCCACAGCTTAGAGGGAACATTGCTTGTGGTAATGTTGCATACCTGGTGGGCAACATTGAATTAAAGGGTAAGTATCACTGACTGATGGCCCAGGCTATCAGAAGCTAAGTCAGGTTGGCCCTGGTTAGCAAATGAATGGAAGACCGCCATAAAATTCAGGTCCTTATGCAAAGGCAGGCAATGGAAACCAACTCTGTTCATTTCTTGCCTTGAAAAGCCTACGAGGTCACTGTAAATCAGCAATTACACACTGTAAGACAGCAATTTATACATACATCACTGCTGTAGTAAATGAGAACACTGCCTAGTTAGCCAGAACAACAGACAAATGTAACCAGAAACAAGGCAAAACTGAACCCGCACTAATGCACCAGATGTATAGATGAACAGAATAGGAGACTTCGTAGATGTGAAAATGGGCAGAAATAAGGTCTGTATGCCTTCTAGGATCAAGTGGCCCCCTGGACACTAAGATCATGCACGAGCTGCAACTCAAGAAAGGGGGGAAAGGGGGGGGGAAGAAATGAATAGACCCAAGGCAGGAACATGACTGTTCCTCCTTGCAGCTAAGCAAACAAAGAGAAAGGGAAATTTTTGCTAGTGCCCTTGCAGTTAGAATTGTACAAGTTCTGCCTGTTCGGACAAGACTTGAGCTGGCCACATGTACCCAGCCTCCATTTAGTACAGTGCAAAGGTCACATCGTGAGGAAAGACGAGGTCTACAGGGAGAGCACATCCCCAATTTGGGGAGTGGAGATTTTTGCCAAATGGCTTTCCTTCAAGGGAACTGATTGTGCCTCTTGAAAACTAAGCCTGTTTCTCAAGATGAAGGTCACAAATTCAGCGGTGTTTCCCCATAGGCTGTAACTGAGTGTTCCAATCACATCCAGTGTGGGGAGACAGTTCCCTCCAAAGAGACTGCCCAGTCTATCTCTGCATGAGTCACTGTTCTAGTTCGGCCACTTACTCCCAAGTGGCTTTCTTAGAAGCTGGACTCATACAGAAGCATAGAGGGAATATTTACATAGAAAGGCTGGCAACTGGCAAGAAGCTGGGGGGGGGAGGAAGGAGTTCCATTTCCCCCTCCCTGTTTGCTGCTGCTGCTGCTTTATAGCACTGGTCATGGGAAGAAGGGCGGGAGGTGGTCCACCAAGGCACACAAGCTGACAACCCCATCAAAGTACATTATTATTATTGTTGTTGTTGTATGGCAGTGTGTGTCATATAGCCAGGAGATCCAAGGATTGCTTGGCAGCCTAAGTTCTAACTTTTTAGCATTATGCACCACAGGTGCTGATCTAGAGTTGTTCGTGGGCTGAGAACTGTGACAGACCCAAGGTCACCCAGCTGGCTTCACGTGGAGGAGTGAGGCATCAAACGCGATTCTCCGGATTAAAGCCCTGCTGCTCTTAACCACTACACCGCACTGGCTCTCTATCAAAGTAGGTAAGTAAACCCTTTTGCTACGTAAAAATAGTATGCAAAAATATAAACCGCAAGTGTAGACCATCAAAAGATACACAACTTTCACAAGTAAACAGTAGACATCAGTTTATTGCAATATAATAACAACAAATTGAAGATACAATAGAATTGGTGGTCACAATGCAAAAACACTATTTGCAAATTCAAAATACAATTTGATGGTAGTGGAAAATATCCAACAAGAGACTCCTCTATATCCTTTGAATATAATAGTGTCCAAAAGACCTCCACAAAAAAGGCAGAGGATGTCCCAAAGCACAAATAAACTTCTAGCAGCCGAAAACGTCCTTCCCAGGTATGCCAGACATTTCAAAGCAATCTTCTTCAGTTGTATGGCTGAAAATGGAACCCAATTTCCACAGTAATATAGGCACAGCTCATCTCAAATGGAATCTGTGACTACCAATTCTATTGTATCTTCAATTTATTGTTATTGTATTGCAATAGACTGATGTCTACTGTTTACTTGTGAAAGTTGTGTATCTTTTGATGGTCTACCCTTGCGGTTTATATTTTCGCATACTACATACGCTTGGGGTCCCTACTGTTTGGCTCATGTAAAAATAGTATGCATGCTGGCAATCCCCAGGAGACTGGGGGGCAGACACTCACTGAAACAGCATCCCAGTTGCATAACTAGAAGTGACATCACTGCATTTCAGGAGGCTCTAGGATCTCTCCAAAACCCTACAGTAAAAAACCCCACCGATTCTAGGGGAACTCAAGAGCATCTAGCAATGCAGTGTCATCTCTTCCAGAGTCCGAAATGACATTGGGGGGACACTGTTCCAGCCTCTCCTTTTCCCCACCACCACTTAGTGGAGTGAGGTGGGCACTGGAGGTTGGGGAGCAGGAGTTCCCCCACCATCAGCGGGCACTTTGCCACCCTAGTTCGGTGCACGAAGGGTACACTAAAACACCAAGCCAGAGCATGACAACAAACCAGTGAACAGCTTAAAACAGATATAACAGTTTTTAGCCTAAAAGCACAATAAAAATGGTGTTAAAAGATCAGCCCCTTGGTTCTACTCTCAGCTCTGGTCTTGGTACTGGTCCCCCTTCATAGGTTGCTGGAGATCTCCTATTATTACAACTGATCTCCAGGCAACAGAGATCAGCTCACCTAGAGAAAATGGCTACTTTGAGGGTGGACTCTATGGCATTATGCCCCATTGAAGTCCCTCCCCTCCCCACACCCTGCCATCCTCAGGCTCCATGCCCCAAACGTCCAGGTATTTCCCAACCTGGACCTGGCAACCCTACCCCATCCTTGTCATGTGACCCTGATGTCATGCGACTTCCTGTCATAAACTTGCAGTTCTGTGAGTCCCATGCTCAGTGGGTTCTGGGTATGGAAAGGCTGAAGATCACTGGTACAGAAGAAGAAGAGAAGAGATTGGATTTATACCCCCCCCTTCACTACCCAAAGGAGTCTCAGAGCTGCTTACAAACTCCTTTCCCTTCCCCACCCCACAACAGACACCCTGTGAGGTAGGTGGGGCTGAGAGAGCTCTGACAGAAACTGCTCTTTTTCAAGAACAGCTGTGCCAGAACTATGGCTTGCCCAAGGTCATCCAGCAGATGCAAGTGGAGGAGTGGGGAATCAAACCCGGTTCTCCCAGATTAGAGTCCACGCACTTAACCACTACACCAAACTGGCATACCCTTGTCACAGATGCCTGCTTTTAGCAAGTGCATACACAAGAATATTTCCCTCTAATATTTGGTAGGTTCCCATTTTGTTATACAAGCATATATTATATTTACCTTTATTGAGAACCCGCGTAGTGCAGTGTGGCAGTTAAAGTGCTGCTCTAGGACTGGGGAAATAGAGCTTCAGATCTCCAGTTCACCATGAAGCTCATGGTGGGTCTGTCCTGGGTCTGTAACCCTGGGTCTGCCCCCTGTCTTTCAGCCTAACCTACTTCATAGGAGTAGAAAAGAGCAAGAGTACTCTAGCACCTTAAAGACTAACAAAATCTGTGACAGGTACACCCTGGACTAACAAAAGACTCTTGCTCTTTTCGATCAAGCTGGGTAGCCGCGTTTGTCTGTAGCAGTAGAAAAAGAGCAAGAGTACAGTAGCACCTTAAATACTAACAAAATTTGTGGCATTTACACCCTGGGGCCTGGATTAACAAAAGACTAACAAAATTTGTGGCCGGTCCCACAAATGTTGTTAGTCTTTAAGGTGTTAATGGACTGTTGCTGTTTTCTACTGCTACAGAGAAACACGGCTACCCAGCTTGATCGACCTCATAGGATTGCTGTGGGAATAAAATAAGGGAGGAGTGAACCATTCATACTGCTCTGAACTCCTTGGAAGACATGTGGGATAAGAGTGGACATCACAGCTAAAATTGTTCATAAGTGGAAAAGACACAGTCAACCTACAGTTGGTGACCAGCTAGAAAGAACTTTAGAAATTAATGAGATGATCAAATAAAGATATCTTCTCATCGTCAGGGCCTGGAGAAAAGTTACAAGAACATAGCCATTTTCTTCAAACGATCTTTATTGGTTACTGTTCAGAACTCTACGTTTTAAAAAAATTAATGGAGTTTTCACTAAAAATCGGGGGGGGGGCACTGCTGATCAACATTGCTGAATACAAATCTTCACTCCTGGTCAGCGTTATTCTAACCGGTGAGAACATATCATCCTCTATAATCCCAGATATCCTTCCAAAGGACGACCAGTGTTTGAAAAGAAAATTAGCCTGGAGGAGAGGAATATGCGGAAGCAGCAATATCAATAACGTTAAAACTGGCAATTATTAAATAAGGCCAATCTTCGATCGTAAAGAAAACTGACGCTTATAGCAGAATGTGACCGAATATCCAATCCCGTGCAGAGTTGGAAATCAACGGGCCTGAATTCATTCAAGAGCACAGGTACACCCAACTCTGAACAGGCTGCTGGCATTTCAGAGCTTCGCATCAGGCCAGCCATTCAGATTGTTCATGTCTTGCCTTTCCCCCTCCTCTCCCCCCCCTCCTCCACACACAATACTTACAGTTTTCTGAATGGCAGTCGGGCACAAATTGCTCATCACTGTCTGGAACCTGAGCTGCAAAGGGCAAGAAGGGAGAGTGAGAATATTTACACCCAGCTCAATGCTCTCATCAAACCAAGCGGGAGGAGAAACCGGCTACATCTGCGATGGGAACGGATCACTGCCAGGAGACAAGAGCCGGTGTTCCCATCGGGACCGCAATCACTTTCTACGTAAGCTTTTCCCCCAGTAGATTCGTCCATTAGCAGGGCCGGTTCTTCCCTTCCTTCTTTGGAAGCATCACGCCTTGTGGCTTTTCTTTCCCCTCCTTCCCTCTCTACTTCAGAGTCAGAAGAGAAACAAAGGCTACCTAACGCACACCTATGCTCAGAAGGCAGGCTGGCCAACCGCACAGCGGCGGTGCAGCGGTCAGAGGGTCTGACTAGAATCCAGGGGACTCCGGTCTGAATCTCTGAGCGTCAGGGAAGCTTGCTGGGTGACTTTGGACCAGTCACTCTCAGCCTAAGCTACCTCGCAGGGTTGTTGTTCGGAGGACATAACGGAAGAGGGGAGAACAATGATGTAAGTTGCTTTGGGTCTCCCCTGAGAAGAAAAGTGAGATATAAGTATCTATCATCTCTTTTAAAAAGTCAAAAATTCAGACTACAGAGGGGCACAGGCAACAGCAGGTCTACAGAGAGCTCACACAAACAAGCCAAGCCACATCATTTCAGATTTCTTACCCCCACACCCTTTCCAGGCTACCGCTCTGATCCTCCATGCTGCTCTCTGCTTACCAGAACTTCCTTTGCAAACCCCGTGACAGAGTCCAGCCTTAACTGGCTGCCTCCAAGCAGGCTAAAATCGAGCTTTGGAGGACTACTTGGCTATAATCTCTCTTTGCACTCTTTTTTGCCTACCCTCAGGCGATTCTTTCGGCACGTTATTCGTTTAGCACCCTTAATGGACAAAACCTACCCCCTACCCCCAATTTTACAATTTAAACAGCGTAGGGAAGAAAATCGGGTGGGAATTAGGGCTGCCAACATCCAGGTGGTGGCTGGAGATCTCCTGGTGACAGTGATCAGTTCACCTGGAGAAAATGGCCACTTTGGAAGGTGGACTCTATGGCATTAGACCCTACTGAAGTCCCTCCCCTCCCCAAACCCCAGCTGCCAAGTGGGGGCAGGGGGCGGGTAAACCCCCGCTTTGGAGGCCCGATTTCCGACGCCGCGGAATCGGGCCTCG